ATAGATAGCAGATAGATTGATCTGCCCCTAAGGCATCTCACTGGATTTGAACATACTTTTTCAAATGGCTTACATATAAGAGAATTCAAAATGTTTGTGGAAAATGGAATTAAAAGATGAGTTTGTTTTGGTACAAAAAACTGGAAATCTGTGTAATTTTTTCTCATAGTACACATTTTTCATGAACTTTTCAAAGACTCCTGGTATAGTTCACATTCTTTCTTGCTTACCCCAAAGATATCAGACTTCATCAAAAGTGTATCTAACATTAGACTTTCTATGTGCAAGAGCCTCCCTACCCTCCAAATCTAGGACTCCACTAGAAGAAAATAATTACATCTTTTATCATCTAATTTGCCAGAATATCTTTTCCAATTTTTGAAAACCTATATATTTATCCAACCCAATTGAATTCACATAAAATATCTATATGTGTCCTTTCCACAGAAAAGTGGCATCTCCAGAAGGAATTATATGCCTGCCATTTGATGTTAAAACTATAGAAACACGACAATAATTCACAGGTATTTACCATGTACCAGACTCTACAGAAAATAGAATACCTGGTTAGTCCCTTGCTCTTAGGTTCAGAGTCTTACAGGAGAATCAGCACATGTTCCAGATTCTCCTGTGTGTCTGTCACTCCTGTCTTGGTCTCATTCACCAAGTTATCTATCCTCTCTCCACACTTCAGTCCATCTTAATGCAGCACTCCATCCTGGAAACCATACTTCTTCCCAGCCGTCATCACTCCTTCAAAGACAATTAGCTCACCAGTATCAGATATCACTAGCCTTATCCTCTCATCCCATTTCCAATTGACTGCCACAGCCTCCCATCTTTCAATAGCTAAAAGAATCTACATTTAATATAATCAGGCCTAGCTATCAAGTTCCAGCATCAATCCATCTCCTACAAAGGGACTTACTTGATCTCTGCAGTCAGAATGTTTTTCCTTCTGTGCTTTTCCTTGTATGGACACCTTGTATTTCTAGTATAGCACTTAACATAAAACTACCTCCAAATCATAGTTACGTACCTATCCATAACGTTCACTAGATAACAGAGAAGAAGGGGTATGAAGTAAGATGAGAGTTTTACAGTTTCCTCTCACTGGTCCAGTTTAACCTCACAAATTCTTGGAATTTTCATCTGTCAAATGGAAATGAGATGCCCACGTTATAGGACTATCATGAAGACAATATGGAAAATAGCTGGCAAGAAGAGGCTCAAAATGTGGATGCTCGCAGGAGCAGTACATTCACTTGCTCTGAATCCTTGAGAGCAAAGGTGGCACCTCCACTGTGTTCAGTTATGTTTTGTTATAACAGTATTAACTCACCCCTGGAGAGCTCTCTGCTAGGAGTACAACACATTCCCATGAAATGAAAACTAAAGTGTCTTTATGTAAATAGTATCAAAGCATCCTTCCACAGTGTGATTTTAGAAAAAAGAGAATCATTAGAAGCCAGTGTTCCAATCTTTTGCTTTTGTTCCCCCTTAAACTACACCTCTCTGGATCCACGAAAGAAACGAAATAATAAAATAATACTCCTTTTCTACCAGTGGTTTCAGTAACGTCCTCTGACATCTCTGTAGCTTCAGCAGAAACATGAGCAAGTGGCAGCTTTCCCTAAAATATTTGCTTCATCACAAGATGTTGTTATTTAAGGAGTAAATTGTATTTCTTTATGCCAGGGTGCTGGAATTCAATGCCCCGCTTACATTAGTAGGTTAAGATTTTAATAAGTTTTCCTTGAGAAGTTCAGGATGTTTCTTTTCCTGAACAACTTTTTATTCTCTCTCTTCCCACAAATGACTCAAGTAACTTTTTCTTTATTTCTTAATTTTGTGCTAAGAAAAAATAAGTAAGCCAGTAACAAAAGAAGTTCTAAACTACAAATGCACTCATTTCACCAGATTAAAAAAAATTCTACTTCAGAGTACTTCATGCTCTTTTATTTTCTCTGAGGGATAAGAGAAACCTAGGAAACCTCAAAAACAAACCTGGACTTGTTTAGTTGAAGAAAAGATATAGAACATTTATTAGAGACTTTAATGTCAAAATCAGAAAACTCCCAATCACTCTTATAATGATAAATGTATCTGTTCGCATCAGAATTTTATTAGAAAATAATAGCTTACAGTTATATGAGATTATAGAAGTTAGGGATTACAAACTAGCAGGCCATGGGCCACCTATAATCTAAATACATCTTTTTTAAAGAGCGATCTCTGCTCTAGGGTGTGTGTGCATGCTGGAGAAACAGAGAGAGAGACAGAGAAACAGAAAGTGAGAAATCACCCACCCCTCCAGAGGGTATGGCTACACCACAATCCCTTCTCCTCCATTTTCCTCTCAGGATTTTGGGCACACGCGCGCATACACCCAAAGTGAGTTTTAAGCTGCTGGGTCTGGGACTCGAACCATGGTCAATTACGTGGGAGTCCAGCAATGTAACCATTACGCTATCTGCTGGTCCCCCCAAATACATTAATATGATCTTTACAGTTTTTAAAATAGGGACCAGCAGGTGGCATAGTGGTTAAGGCGCTGGGTGCTCCCAAATGGCTGACCACAGTTCAAGTCCTGGACCTGGTGGCTTGCTCTCTCACCTTCTCTTTTTCTTTCTGTGTGTCTCTCTAGTCAAATTAAAAATGAATGAATGAATAAATAAAATTAAATAAATAATTTTCAAAAATAAATAAAGGGCACTTTACATAAAATATCTGGAAGCTTCTATTATCCTGGAAAAACTGCTGTTTTAGAGCCTGGTCAGGTCAGGGACCATCAGCCAAAGGAGGGTAGGAGCTGTCCACTGCAGAGTGGCTTGGTAAGCCTCAGAGGCCAAGATTCCTAACCGCTCCTCTCTGACAAGTCTCCCAAGAGACCTGCTCCACTCCTTTATCTTCCCGGCCTGTTTAGGCACACATTTGAAGTGCAGACACAACATTCTTCTAAAGCCAAAGAGCCTGGATCCAGAAAGGGCTTCCTCATTCATTTGTTCTGTGACCTTCAGCAAGGTTTGATTCTTGTACCTCTCAGCTTTAAGAGGAAGGAAATTCTTTGACCTCCACACAGTTGTTACAAAGATTTTAAAAAAGGAGTGTATAAAAAGTGCTTTGTAAACTATAATACAAAATGTTTGTCATCATTATTCATGCCTCAGAGCTCTGGGAGTTGCATAAATCTACCTAACTCAGTTATTATTTGGCTTCCTTGCTCCTTGTATTTTTGTACTTTGCATGATAGCTTAAAATCTAAACAAAAGGAATTTTATATATTTCTTTGCCTAATTTAACAAGAGGTAGAAAAGATGAACAAATATCAAAGGAATGCAAAACTGTTGGACGCCAGTGGATCTTTTCCTAGCTGGTTTGTTTGTGAGGAAGGCATGAAATTAGTGTGAAGTGTAATTACTGGATTGCCTATGCCTTCAAGTGCTGTGTTCTACGTTCACCCACTGGGAACCCACGGCCTCAGAACAAAACTGACAGTGCAGGTATGAAGGACTCCTGGGAAATAGCGCTGACCTCTTCTGCTGCCTGGCCAGTGTTCCTGAAAAGAATCGGCCCATTAGAAGAAAAAGAGCTCTAAAAGCTTATACTGCAAACACGACATACATTTTATATCTGTCTCTGATGATACAGATACATATCCAAATAATCAATAAGAGGGCCAGCCGAAGGAAAACAAGCTTTTCATAGATGGGCAGAGGTGCAGAAAAACGGCACTTAAATAATGATGCAGTGGATACAGAGATGCTGGCAAAGATGTATGTCATGAATGCTATCTTGTTACGCCAAGAATTCACAAATAGTATCCCTCCTCAGGTCAATTTACAACGGATCGTCCTTGTGTA